CCTTCCGTATAGCCCTTAAAACCTGGTTGTTCCGACAGGCCTGGGGCTAAAGAACCGTTGCCCCGCCTCCAATGGTATGATTGTTGTGTGTTTTTTAAATCATGTATTGTTTTTGTGTTGTTGTTAATTTGTCTGTATCCCCCCTTCCCTGGTTTGAGTTGAGTCCCCCTGTGGGGGAAAAGGGCGGCATATAAATGAAATAAACATTCAAACATTCAAACAAACATTCAAACCCCCTGCTTAGGCAGGAAACCCTACACCACTTCAGACAAATGGTTATCCAACATCTTCTTAGAAACTTCCAGTGTTGGAGCATTCACAACTTCTGGAGGCAAGTTTTCCACTGATTAATTGTAGTTCTGCAGGGGCCAATAGTCCAGCGTTCTGTAGCTCAATTGTCACCAAGCATCAAGTAACTTCAATATCTAGTGCAATCCTTGTTTATCAGATGACAACTGATCCAGTATAGCAGTCTGTAAGTTATAATCTCACCATATTGTTTATGGGAGAGGCACTCTTTGTCTGGCTCCTCTGGAGAGATCTATCCAGCATGGGTGAACCTCTCAACCATGTCAAGGTAGTTATGCTTGGTTGCGCATTCAGCCAGTTGTTTACACTGGATTTGGCATTTTTATCCACCTGTAGCTTTGGATTTAGTGAAATTCCCCTCCCCGTACACCCAAGAGTTAGGCAAACCTATATATGCCTCACAGCATCATGCTCTATATTTCTCTGCTGGCACCACTTCACCAGATAGTGTGAGGTAGGGAAGAATGTGTAATAAGATATCAGAACACCATCAATGCTGTCAATGGAGAACTTGACAAGATGCTACTGCCATCATTAAAGCTTTCAAATGTCAGCACAATCCTGTCTGTTGACTGCCTTTTTTGAGAACAGGAGAGAACAGTGCCATAGGAAGTACAAACTAATACTTCGGCTCCCAGAAATATAAGACTGAAGTGCTATAAGTAAAAAGATGCCCTTTGAGGCCCTCTGACCAGCTCCAACTGCTCAAAAATAATATAACATTAGCATTCTAAAGAGAGGCCTCATAAAAACATCTTTTCTTCTTTGCCAATTCCTCCTCCCCATTTCTCTGTTGTTCCTTTCAATCAATTTTGATTCCGAGTAACCAACTTGACAAATCCTTGCAGTTTTCCTGGCAATGTATTTTTTGGAAGTGGTTTGCCATCGGTTGTTTCCTAGGGCTAAAAGAGTAATTGGCTGCCATCCATGGACAGAAACGTATAGGTGGATTGGACAACCAGGGGTATTTCCAAACCAGCTTTGCTATTTTAAAATGTTGTATCTGGCTTTGTCTAATTAAACATCCTGGTTTGTTTTTATTGTGGGTGAACTGAACATTTCCATGAACATTATTGTTGTTTGTTTGTTTGTTTATTTCATTTGTATGCCGCCCTTTTCCCCCGAGGGGGACTCAGGGCGGCTCACAACTCAAAACAAGGGAAGGGGGGATACAACCAATTTGGCAACAACTCAAAACAAGGGAAGGGGGGAT